CATCATCCGTGTCTTCTTCAGAAGAAGTAGTAAAAACACCGAATAATTCTAAAATAAAATTTAAAAATAACAATATAAAATTAGTAAATAAATAAATAAATACTGTATATATTTTTTAAATTATGAAATATAAAAGTAAAATTTCTTTAAAATAATTACCTTCTTCCTCAAGACTTTCAAGTAAGGTATCGGTCAAAGAACAAGTTCTTTCAACTAGTAAACATTTCAACAATCCACGTTCTCTTTCCATATTCTTTAGTTTGACAAATGATAATTGAGAAACTTCTTTACCAATCCTGATTTTTTTTCGTAATTGACTTCTTGTTTGATGCCTAAACTCAAAATTGGACATTTCTCTATGCCAAGGAATAGAGATAACAATTTATGATAAAGGCAATCTTTGGATGAAGATAGAATGAAAATGATATATTATTATAGTGCGGAAAGTTTTGAGAAATATAAATGATGGGTTCAAATTATGAGTCCTGAAATTATTAAGCAGTGCGTGTGATCAAGGAAGAAAGGAGAGAAAATTTCGAGAAACGAGGAAAAAAAAAATGTCAATCAATTACTTGAGAAATGTAAAGTGGCTTGTATGAATTGTTTGATCTGATGTGTCAATATTTCGTTTTTTTCGAAGATCCGATTTTAGTTAGACCGATAACGTGAGGTTTCTTACAATTCAGTAATAAACAATGATACTGACTAACAGTTGAGGTAGTTCTGTAGTTAACGTTAACAACTCATTAAAAAGTTTATAAAATTGATGACGTATAAGCAGCAAATGCAGTTATACGTAAGAATTTGTCTTGTGACGTAGGAGTTTGTAAACATTACAGTAACTACAGAACTATGTTTTAAAATAACGACGAAATTAAATGAACAAAAAAATCAAAATTCTGAAAATCTGTGAATTTTTTTTGCCTTGTATAAATGCACGTGCATTTATCCGTGCACAATCACCTTAAATGACGTTTTATTATAACGAAAACCGTTAAACCCTTATTTATTTTATAAAATATCTTTGGCGAACTATTGGATTTTCATGTATAGAATATCAGATTCCTCATTAGCAATATAAGATCATTTTTGATTTAATTATTTACTTTTAACGGTACTTTAAGAATTAAAAAAAAAAACTATTAACTTATATAAAGAAAAAACAATTAGCATTTGAATATGAATAATATAATAATATGAACCTAACTCGTGATTCACGGAGGTTGCATTACAGGTTTTGACATGTGGTACGTACCAGAAAAAAAAGAATACTTTCTATTATTATCGTTATGAGAAAAAGAGACGGGTTTGATTTTTTTAAAAATGTGCAGATTCGTTGTCCCACGTGAAATCATGATGGATGCAGGGATTAACCCGTAATGATCGCTTATTTATCATGTGATCACACGAGATAACTTAGGACGTGAGTTTCGTGGGGCATTGCAAGCGAGTGTCGTTTTGAGTTCGTTAAATTGAGAGTAATTGATTAAAACAATGGCATTTTTTTTACACCATATTTCATTAGGGAATGCATAATTCAGTAATTACCACTGCCTAGGTGTTAAAATTTAGTACTCTTAATAGTTCAAAAACTCAATAACTCAATAACTTTATAATTCTATAACTCTATAATTAGAAATTGTAAATGTTAAAAAAAATATAAAGCTTCGTTCGCTTGTTTCATTCATTTTTTTCGTTGAGAACTTACAAATAATTCCCGCACGTGCTTTAACATCCTCAGATTGGAAAAGTGGGAAGCGGATTGACCGTAGATTCTGTAACACTGAGAGCCACGTGGTCACGTGAAATAATAAAAAATTACCAAAATATTCCGATCTACACAAAATTATACTTTCATTCGATTTTAGGTTAACAATAAATCTTGTTATGACAAATGTTTTTAAACCAGGTAGGAAAAGATCTTCATTTAACCTTAAAACTTGTAGTATCGTAGGTCCAAAGTGTTACAGGATCTCCCTGATGCTTTCGTGTAACATTTTTTGAATATACAATAAGTTTATAAGCAGATAATGCCCGATCGCTTATAAAGATAAAACGTTTTCCTGCAGATTAATTCTTTCACTTCTTTTTCCCTCCGTCAAAACACGTGACTTTTCAATTGAACTTTTCTGCTTCATAATATAACGATAAACTTGTCATTCGATCTATTTTAACCAATTCTGTAATCAACTTTAATCCTTCCACTTTTAAAAAAGGAAATGATATTACAATTACGTCCATCGTATCAATTTTTCTTAATTCTTCTTGGAATAAATTTATTATGCA